AATAATGTTGGTTCCTGATTAGTGTGTGGCCCCCCCCCCCTCCCTTAACTATATCTGGACTCTCTTTAAAGTAGAAAATCAAAAATGTTCTTCCCAAAAGAAAAACATATCCTCAATTAAGTAAGGATTTCAATTGGCTACAATTGAAATCTAATTACTATTGTTTTTTTTGCCGATGAAGTTGTGGTATTTGTAGTTGTAGTACTTGTAGTACTTGTAGTACTTGTAGTACTTGTAGTACTTGTAGTACTTGTAGTACTTGTAGTACTTGTAGTACTTTGTACTTGTACTTGTAGTACTTGTAGTACTTGTAGTACTTGTAGTACTTGTAGTAATTGTAGTACTTGTAGTACTTGTAGTACTTGTAGTATTTGTAGTACTTGTAGTACTTGTAGTACTTGTAGTACTTGTAGTACTTGTAGTACTTGTAGTACTTGTAGTACTTGTAGTGCTTGTAGTGCTTGTAGTACTTGTAGTACTTGTAGTACTTGTAGTACTTGTAGTACTTATCATTTTGTAGTACTTGTAGTACTTGTAGTACTTGTAGCTCTGGCACAGCTTGCTGCAATAGTGAACCCAGCAAACAAACCTACTAAAGTGAAATGGAGCCTCTCCTGGTCCAGGGCCTTGGGAAATTGTGGAAAAGCTGTTCTTTAATAAGGGTTTAATAAGGGATTGGCTCCTTTGGGAAAGGCTTGGAGTTTGAATTTGGCAATTGCCTTTGGAAAAGGCTTGCTTCTCTTCTGGGCTTCCAGGGGCTGCTCTGGCACAGCTTGCTGCAATAGTGAACCCAGCAAACAAACCTACTAAAGTGAAATGGGCCTCTCCTGGTCCAGGGCCTTGGAAAATTGTGGAAAAGCTGTTCTTTAATAAGGGTTTAATAAGGGATTGGCTCCTTTGGGAAAGGCTTGGAGTTTGAATTTGGCAATTGCCTTTGGAAAAGGCTTGCTTCTCTTCTGGGCTTCCAGGGGCTGCTCTGGCACAGCTTGCTGCAATAGTGAACCCAGCAAACAAACCTACTAAAGTGAAATGGAGCCTCTCCTGGTCCAGGGCCTTGGAAAATTGTGGAAAAGCTGTTCTTTAATAAGGGTTTAATAAGGGATTGGCTCCTTTGGGAAAGGCTTGGAGTTTGAATTTGGCAATTGCCTTTGGAAAAGGCTTGCTTCTCTTCTGGGCTTCCAGGGGCTGCTCTGGCACAGCTTGCTGCAATAGTGAACCCAGCAAACAAACCTACTAAAGTGAAATGAAGCCTCTCCTGGTCCATGGCCTTGGAAAATTGTGGAAAAACTGTTCTTTAATAAGCGTTTAATAAGGGATTGGCTTCTTTGGGAAAGGCTTGGGGTTGGAATGTGGATATTGCCTTTGGAAAAGGCTTGCTTCCTTTCTGGGCTTCCAGGAGCTGCTCTGGCACAGCTTGCTGCAATAGTGAACCCAGCAAACAAACCTACTAAAGTGAAATGGAGCCTCTCCTGGTCCAGGGCCTTGGAAAATTGTGGAAAAATTGTTCTTTAATAAGGGTTTAATAAGGGATTGGCTCCTTTGGGAAAGGCTTGAAGTTTGAATTTGGCAATTGCCTTTGGAAATGGTTTGCTTCCCTTCTGGGCTTCCAGGGGCTGCTCTGGCACAGCTTGCTGCAATAGTGAACCCAGCAAACAAACCTATTCAGATAGAGATGCATTTACAGGCTCAGATAGGGAGATGAACAAAAACTTGACTGAGCTACAGCGTTTTTGAGAAAAAAAATGCCTCTCAGCAATTATAATTACAGTTTTTTTTTTAAAGGGCTCTCCCAATTTTGTTTTGCCACAAAAGCGAACCCTCCAAACAATACATGAGTTTCAGAATAATTTGGAAAAAAGTTTGCCACAATAGCGACCCTAGCTACTAATCAGGAGCCAACATTAGTCAGGGTTTACCAATCTGGGCTTGACATTAGATGTGCCATCAAGATGGTACACAATAGGAAGATGATCCTCACCACTCACTGGATTGATCAAAAAACGAGCGCGCAATCCAGCGAGGTTACGGTTACTGTGCCGTTAAGAAGGTCCACCTTCATAAGCATAATGAGCCGGGATGATCCAGATGTATCCGAATATGTCACAAACAAATATCACAACATTTCTTGGGATGACTGGGGATGGGGTGAAACTGCCAACCGGATGACCATTTGATTTGCTCAATGAAGACAGGTTGAAGGATCGTAGCCAAATTGGCAAGGTTTGCAAAAGCATTTCGGGGAACAGAATAGGTTGCTTTGTGAAACCACAGCTGGCTACCAGCAGCTCGTTCTCATCGTTGGTGGTGGCTGTGGTGGCCGTAATGTCAAGACAGACATCAACCTCAGACAGACATTAACGTCACCGACATCACCCCTGCAGTGTTCCTTGTCTTGGCCATTGGTCATTGTCAATCTTGTTGGATCATAGTTCTAGTTCAGTCAAGTTCCCTATGCCCTATGCTTTGCTTCTTGGACTTGTGTTGGGAGAGAAAATCATGACAGAGAACCTTTGCAAACATGGTTGTTGCTTGCACCCTGCAAGTGTTGCAGCGTCGAAATATTTCAGGATATTTCAGACATGACATCTTCCAAACAAGCATGTGAGCTCATGGTTTACCCTCTGGTAATTTAACATAGCTATTGAAAATGGTCATTTTTAATGGGAAAATCCACTATTAACGGCCAGTTTCAATAGCTATTTTGACATAACCAGAGGGTACCCAGCGGCCAGGAGCGGGCTGTAGCTACAGGACAGGCAGCCAACCATTCCAGCAGTGCTAACCGTTCAGGCATACAAGGCCATGTTCTTTAATTGAATAGAATGAAATATTGAATATCTTGCCTACGAGTATAGGTGTTGTGGTGAACTGCTGAATTCCAGATGTTGTTAATGCCTGGGCTGGTTGTGGAGGATGGAGAAACCCACAGGCGGATGCAGAGGCAAAGTGTTTGACAGCAGCAACGCACAATTTCTGAAGCTTTAGGGGGGAGGAAACTGGTTTTCGGATGCCGAAACCAAATCATATTGAACAACACAAAATCATCTCGAGACACACCTAGCCGCTCCACATCACTGACAGATTGAAAATGGTACATGATTTCTTGATAAATCGATTTGTGTGAAACCCGGGCTTTGTTACTACCCATAAACAAAGACCATAACAAGAATTTCGTGCACCGTCAGGCGATAGCAATTCCCGATATCCCTTATATTGCTCTCGACTAAACATGAAAGGGTCCAATGTTG